AACCTGACCCCACCCCTGACCTGGGCCCTACCCCTCACCACTGGGCAGGTACCCTAAGCCACGCCCCCGAGCCAAGCCACACCCCCAGGCCATCACCCGGCCCCCACCCCCCCAAATCTTGCTCCACACCGAGGCACCCCCTCCGTGGCCCCTCCCCCACCACAGGACCCTGTACCTTCAAGCCCCGCCCCAAGGCCCAGGCCCCACCCCAGGTCCAAGCCCCTCCTCCAGGTCTAAGCCCCACCCATCACCACAGAGGCCCGTACCCCAGTCCCCGCCCACAAGGCCTGGCTCCACCCCCCAGCCCCACCCCACCACAGGACCCTGTACCTCCAAGCCCCGCCCCAGGCCCCGCCCCAGCCCCGCCCCCGTGCCCCGCCCTCACCGCAGAGCCCGGTACTCGTCCCCGATGCGCTGCACCCGCAGCCGCTGGGTCCCCGCGGGGCCCCCCTGCACCAGGGCCCCGGCCCGGGCCCCGCCCATGGCGGCCGCCACCGCCCCCAGCACCTCCGGCGTCCCCACGCGCACCTGGGGGGACACGTCACACACGCCCCACCCACCGGCCACGCCCACCGGGACCGCCCCCGTGAGCCCCTCAGCCCTCCCAAAGGGATCAGCTTCTCGTCTTGGGGCAGGGACGTGGATGAGCCACACCCACCCAGGGCCACACCCCATTTGGGCACACCCAGAAAGGGCCTCTCCTGTGAGCCCACCCATCGATCCCCCTCCGTTCTGCCTCTGGGGGCGGGGACAACGCTAAGCCACGCCCACTTGTACACCCCACCCCCAAGCCACACCCCCCATTGGTCCACACCCCCAGCTGGGACACCCCGGCCCTGCCCACTGCGGGCCCCGCCCTGGCCACACCCCCGGGACAGGGCAGGGCTTGAGGAGGGGCGGGGCTTTGAGGGGAAAGGGGCGGGGCCTCACCTGGCCCACCCCAGCGGGGGCGGGGCTGAGAGTCACCGTCATGGGGAAGGTCGGGGCGGTCAGCTGGGGACAGATACCAGTGACACCAGTGACATACCAGTGACACCAGTGACATCAGTGACACCAGTGACACACCAGTGACACACCAGTGACACCAGTGACATTCCAGTGACACCAGTGACACCAGTGACATTCCAGTGACACCAGTGACACCAGTGACACCAGAGATACACCA